CTATAAAGACTCAAGGAGTCCAAGAAGAATCCACTTCTTTTCTAAGTTTTAGTTCCTAGCCCAGACTCACAACTCTAAGTATTCAAAGCTGTTTATTTTCCCTGCCTTATATTTTCAGCATTGTATCTACCTTTGAGAAATGTTATATTCCCAAATAAAATCTGAACCAGCATTCCCTTGTCACCAGCTAATAATTATACTAAATAGTGTTTTCTTTCAGTGTTTTTTAACATTTATAAACTTGTGTTTCCAAACGCCTAAGCTGCAATGATTAGTGTTTGCCTGTTGATTATTTCACACGTGGTAAACTCCATCCTCTTTAGGTACCTGAAGCCTCCTTCAAAATTCTTACAGTTTTTCTGTAGCTATTGCAACAGCTCTTCATTTATACTACACTTAGTCATCTATGTGCCCACCAGGTGGGATGATTTTGAATGGAAGGACATTCTCCTAGGGCAATTCACATTAGCCTAATTGAATGCCAGCAGTATCCAGGAAATAGTTCACCGATGAAGGGGTACAAGACTTCACACCTGATATTTTATTCAGGTTTTAGAGCATATTATTATTATGACCTGACCACACAGAGCTGGGATGCTCAGGTGAATTAAAGTGCCAGAATGTACCTCTCTAGGTTAGAAAGGCAGATTTAAGAAAAATAAAACTTATACTTAAAAGGAAAGCATCGCATTTCTATTCTTGTATATAATAGTAGTAATAGTAACAAAAATTAAGAGATGTTCAGGGATAGGTGGGAGAAGGATATGGTTACTAGTAGTGATACAGAATTTTAGGAGATTTTTGAGATATTGATTTTTGTAATATCTGTTTGATATCAGCAATAAGCACGAGGAGAAGAAAAGGTGAGTGAATGACCTGGTGACGAGAGGATGCAGTGGTGATGAATGTCAGCTACAAGATGGGACTGGGTTGCCTCAAATGACTCTTAGTCAGCAAGGGAGGAGTGCTGGAAACTTCAAGGCATCAGTTTAAGGGGTTTTGAAAATATACTGAGTCCTGTGCAGTTCTGCTTCTGAAATTAGCCTCTAAATCATCTCATTAGAATCCTTAAGCACAATTAAGTGGTCTAGAGCTTGAATAAGGGAAGAGTGGTGTTAGCTTTGGCATCTTTCATGTGTTGGTGTAAATAATCTTTCAAGACAATACTGTTCCTAGCTCTATGATAAAATAGAACCGTTTGGAGTAGAGCATCCTGTGAAATAGATTGCAATCAAGATGATAAGGAAAAGATACTGTGGTGGTGCTCACCTTTAAGCCCAGCACTCGGGAGGCAGAGGCAGGTGGATCTCTGTGAGTTCAAGACCAAACCTGGTCTACAACAACTAGTTCCAGGACAGGCTCCAAAGACACACAGTGAAACCCTATCTCGAAAAACAAATCAAAACAAACAAAAAAAGTTACTGGAAATAGGAACTATGACAACAGACACCCTCAAGTAAAAGTTAGTATACGTAATTTTGTGAGACAAATCTTGCTGACTTTATGTATTTATGATTTGTTAGGGTTTTCCCCAGATACCATGAGATTTTAAATTGTTTTACATCAAATGGAAAAATGTTTCTAAAAAGGAAAAGAAATCAAATATTGAAAAGAAGCAAAAAAAAGGTCAATTACATATAAAATGTAAATACATATCAAGAGAAATGTGGAACCAAACTGAAATCCAACTACTCAAGAAGTTGCCTTAAGGTGGATAGTTGCAGAATGGAAAGTCTTCTTAGAAGCAGCTGTTTTAGTACTCAATGCATAGCATACTTAAAGATACACATTTCAAGTGAGCATCAGGTGGATTTGAATTTTATTGGTACATAAACAGGGGTTCTGTTGCTCCGATCTCCCTCTTTTTCTTCTTCTCCCATCTCACAATGCTCAAGATGCAGTCAAGAAGAGCATCTGGGGCCTCGACTGAAGAAACTTCACATGCACCCTTTCTTTCCTGTCTCTTACACTGACAGTTGTGGTGGGGACTTCAGTACAAATAACTGAAGCTTGAAAACTACATGAAAGAATATAACTACTAAATTCCGATGGTAAAAACAAAACAGAAAATAGCCCAAAGCTTATTTCAAAGTGAAACAAAGTGATAATTATATAGAAAACAATAAGAAAAATGAACATACATCCCATCCTATGATTATTTTAAAGTCATCAAAGTTGACTGTAGAAATTAAGGTACACTAGTGGAGACAATTCTGATGTGAACTGTATTAGGTTTGTTCCCCATAAAAAATCTAACAGTGGTAAATTGACTAGTGGGTGACTGAATTGAAAAGAAGGATAAAGGTCTCTAGAGGCCCTAGGATTTATAACTCCAAAATCATGGATCAAAATCAGCAATCTTCCTTGCTGAGTAGTGCCCAGATGGTAGAGACAGCCCTGGTATGTGGTTTTCACAGCTTCTTGACAGTGAAACTGTCACCAGTAGGTGACCCCATCAGTCTGAAGGCAGGAAAATTACTATGTGAACCAAGGAAGTACACCACAGTCCCTGAGAAGCAGAGGGCAGAGACTCAGAAAAAAAATAAATTTACAGTTGGTCCTTCCTCAAAGGAGCTCATACAAAATTTCTTTGGAGTTTGAAGAATACAAAAGCAATTTGATTTTCACAGGTAAAACGTGTTATAAAAGGAGAAAGCAATTCCTATTAAAAAGAAGAAAGATAGTGTATCTAAGGGATGATGCTCTGTGAGGAAGATGTAGTCTGGAATTAATTACAGTGTGAAGACACAGTCCTTGCCATACAACAGCCATCCGAAGACAGAAAAGGAACAAAGCAACACAAGCTAATACATGGGTAAAATCAAGGTAGGCATCTTCTCAACAAAACTAGCAAACCCAAGTCCAATACATTTCCAAAACATGATTCTTTTGTCAGAAAAAAAAGTGTGATTAGCAGTTATTTTAGTAACAATGTTTTTGAAGACCAGATTGAAGAGAGGTAGGTCTCCTATTGTCTCCTCCCCCAAACAAAACATAATAAAATATGGGAAATAAAGTTACTATAAAAATGATGAATTACCACTCCCTCCTGAAAAAAGAACTCATACTTATGATATCAGTAAGCAATTACTTAGGTCAATAGAGGAAGAAATATTAAATATTCAACTGAATCACATTCAATCTGAGTTTTACTATTCCTCATTGATTGATCGCTCTGGTGGTGATATTTCACATGTTTTGACTTGTACTCGCAGAAGGGTCTGCCTAGGTACTAGAAGAAACTGTAATACTAGAATGTAGTAAATTAGCATTTAAACCTTAAAATGTAAAGAACTAACTGCTGAATTTAAAGCTGTGGTTTAAAGAACAATGAGTTTGTATTCAAAAGAGGTATGAAAGGGCATCACTGAAAACCATGATTCAGGAGTGAGAGTGAGGTAGAAGGAAGGGTTTTATTTTTTTTTCCATCAGCCAAATCTGGAATTCTGTGTAAATCTACATTACATTGGTTTGTTTGCGAAACTCTGTCCCCTTTATGGACTTACCTGTTTACATTTACTAAGCCAACAACCACTTTGGTGACTGAATATTGAGCATTTTTAAGTGAAACCATGTCTATGCTCTTTTTTTCACTACTTTTATCTTAATAAATGTGAGTGCAATCCTTTTCAATCTCTTGTACATGTCACATAAATACTTGTAAACTGTTGCCTTAGAAGTTAATTTATAGCCAGGTGCTCTGCTTCCTTATAAACCCTCTAGGGGAAGTTAGAATCGATGAGCTCAAAAAAATCTCATTTTAGCAAAAACTTCATATAAGCTTCAGTGAACATAGTAAAGGGAATCTTTTATGTAAGATATCTCCAAGAATTCACATCCATAAATTTCTGAAGAAAAAAAAGCAAAGCTTTAACCTCAGGTCAGACTACCTCATTTTTAAAAAGCCATTTTAAATCTGATATCTGCTGTTCTTTTGTAGGAAATTTATCATTGGTCTCTCTTTAAATTCTGAAGAGCAAGGTCATGATATTGAAGACTATAAGCCTAAACTCAACTCCAAGATATTCTCAGCACCATTTCTCATAAAAACAAGGTAAGTTTGTGGGACATGGTGTATGATTTTGGCACATGAAATAAGCACATGAAAATAAATAAATGTTTCAAATATTTACTTTTGTATGTAAGATACTCCAGAATTTAAAGTGTGCCTTTCTGATATCTTGAGGAAGATGCATGAATACCCATCCCCAGAGAAGTTTTGTGTGTGTGAGTAGGAACACCAGAAGACAATGGCACATACCTTCAGATGTTTAAGACAAGATAAAATTCACAAGCTCACATTTCAAATCTACAGTAGAAGACAGGGAGTGGTGTGTGTGTGTGTGCGTGTGTGTGTGTGTGTGTGTGGTGTGTGTGTGTATGTGTGTGTGTGTATGTGTGTGTGTATGTGTATGTGTGTGTGTGTATGTGTATGTGTGTGTATGTGTGTGTGTGTGCGTGTGTGTATGTGTGTGTGTATGTGTGTGTGTGTGAGTGTGTGTGTGTGTATGTGTGTGAGTGTGTGTGTGTGTATGTGTGTGTGTGTGGTGTGTGTGTGTGTGTGTGTGTGTGTGTGTGTGTGTGTGTGTGTGTGTGTGTGACTCACTTTGATTATACCATTAAGTTTGGGAAACCATTGGTCACTCATTGAAGAGAAATCCAGTACCTTTACCTTGGATCAATAAACCTTACCAAACACACAAACACAGATTATGAGCCACCTTAAGATCTGTAAGTCAAATCTATAGTTGGACACCTTTGCATGCAGTTTTCATATCTTTTATACCCCCCCAACACTTTGGGATGTGGTTTTGCTGCACTGTAATTACCAAGAAAGGAAGATAAAAAGCAATGCCTAGGTGGGCGTGCACTGAGAAGGGTAAAGTCAGCTTCCTGCTGTGCTAGAAATAAGCAGAGACTACATACACTACGTTCCTGGGCACAAACCATACAATTCCTTGGCTCTCTTGGTAGTTTTCTTTCCCAAATAGAGTGCCTACCTTCCGTGTGGACTGCGGAGACATACGTCCAATTGTACCGCTTGACTATGTCAAGCATCGCCCTTGCTTGCAAAGTATCAGAAGGGACCACCCTCAGGAAGTATTTGTACAAAGTTTTGTCACTCAGGTCTATGCTCGTGGCAGAATAGGCGATCTGTGGGATGTCGAACAGCTGGAGAAGATTCTGGACTTGAATGGCCACAGAGCTGGAGCCAGGGCCGATCACTCCAGCTATAGGCTTCTTAGTCCTGCCTGGGGGGAGGGTCTGGCCATCAGGCAAGCAGCGGTTCAGCCCATCCTTCTCATCTCGGATGGAAATCAGAGAGTCCCTGATGAACTCGATGCTCTGTTCCAGAGCAACAGAAGAGTGCCAGCAGGAGTCCCGAATCTCACTGCCCAGGGTGATGTTGGGCAGGAGCACCGGGTCTGCGTTGATCTTATCCAACGTGTGGAACATGGCTTCCACCCTCTGGATACCATATTGTTCTCTGATCTCCCCACACTTCCTTTCGGGTACCTTCTCTGCTGGAGGTTGGTGATGGACTGAAAAGAGGGCTCCAATAATGACATCTCCGTCCATTCTGGCCACGGAGCGCTGAGACGAAGCACCCGCCAGTAATACTTTTCTGTCGGGAATTCTGGGCAAAATGGACATCTCCAAAAAGATTATTGGGAAGAAAACCAAGAGGAGCCGGACCATTGTGGCGGAGACGCGGTACACCGCGGGCCAGCCGAGTTCCCACGCCGGTCTTCCCTGCAGGTTCCCAGCAGAAAACACCCAGACGTCCACCGCTGCCTTTCTAGCTTCGTGCCTTTGACCAACACAGCTGGTTCAACGCTTTCTCTGCCTCCACCACCGCCTCTCTCCCCTCCGCTTCCTCCTGCTGGTCCTCTGCGACCGCTCCTACACCCTGGGGGCGTGCTTAGAAGAAATCAAGTCGCAGTTTTTCACGGGTGCCTGAAGGTGTATAGATCAGGTGTGCAATGCACGGCTTGTTAGTGGCCGTGAGCTGGACGCTGATGATGAAAAAGGGAAAGCAAGTGTTTAAACTCTGGGGTCTGCGATGCTAACTATTGTCCCGTCCACTTCACTCCAACACATCCTTCAGAAACATCTAGGGAGGCAGCTCTGGTCAGTGATGGAAGTGTTGTGCCCTGCTCGCTCGCTACCGGGGTCCTGAGAGGTGCAGAGTCCTGCTGACCCGCCCCCTCCTCCAGCCTCAGGTCCCTTCTCTGTTCCTCCAAGCCTACCAAGCTTTCTCAGGTGATGGGGGCAGCAAGGGGAGGGAGAGAATAGGGGAGGAGCTAAATCCCTCAACCTAAGAGAACTTTCCCGCATTTAAAAAGATCAACTTTTTCCCAGAAGAAAATTTGGAAACTCTTTGCAAGGTAGAAGCGCTGTTTAAAAAGCAACGCAAACAATGGAAGCACCTTTTACTTCAACACTTACGGGTTGAAGAGACCCTGACACACAATTTTAGTAGTAAATGTAAATTCAACAGCTTGTGAAAAAAAGCCACATTAGTTACTAAGGCAACGCCTGGTAGTCTCCCTGTGTTGGGGTTTGGTATGTTGCACCCCCTAAAAAATGAAGCTTACTGTAGAAGGAGCGCAATAGATAAATTGTTTTTCGAGGTGGGGTTGGAGAGGCGGTGGGTATCCTGCATCCGCTTATGTACCGGAACCTTTGGGGCTTTGCATCGCTGTAAGAAATGGAAGAAAGGGAGCGGGCATGAAGGGGTCGCCTTTAGCACAACACCCTGAGCCGCTACGCGGTCAGAACCCTGGACAGCGCTCAGTGCGAGCCGGAAACACCTTTCCTTGCTGCTCCTGCAAAGATGCTGGCGACCACCACTCTGGAAATTCTTGATCTCCCTTCGCTCTTTCTATCTCCTTCCTTCGTCTTCTTCACACACACACACACACACACACACACACCTTCCCTCTTTCTACCTCCTACCTTCGCCTTCTACACACACACACACACACACACACACACACACACACACCCTTTCTATCTGTCGCCTCCCTAGTATGTCTCCTCTCCACCCTCATTCTCTTTGCCTGGCGGTCCTGCAGGTTTATACTTCCATTCAACTGCTTTGGGGATAGAGGCACCTGCGGGGCTGAAGTTGGCTCCCTCTCCCGTCCCTCCCCTTTCTCAAGGTGAGAGTCAAGATGAAAAGGGGGCTGCTGCAGGAGCACGCTGGGGGTGAAAGCCCAAGAAGCAAGGCACAAAAGAGGGAGGAATTCAGCCAGACCCCCACCGCTCCCCACCGCGTCTCAGACATGCAGGACTAAAAGAGATAAATAAACGAAGATCCTCCTAGATCCAGGAGAAAATCCAATAGATCAGAACAGTATCTTCCTTTGGGGGTGGGCTTCACCGCGGGAAGACATCTGCTCAGCTGAGCCAGTTTGGGGCATGTACTCACGACCTACCTGAGTCCGGGTAGACAGAGCTATTGGTCCCCAGGTCAAAGGACTGCAGCCGCCCTCGGTTCACAGACACCTCAGCTCCAATCCAGACGGTGCAAGGATGCGATCTGGGCTGTACACTAGTGCCCTCTTTCTTCAGCACTATTTTACCGCAAGGGAGGAAAAAAAGAGAAAAGAAAAACGGAGGAGGGAGGTAAACTCAAAAAAAAAAGAAAGAAAAGAAAAAAAGCAGGTCACCCAAGGTTTGCCTAACATCTAATGTATAAAAACCATCGTTTAATAGAGGAGGAGAAGCCAGAGAAATGCAGAAACTATCATTTTCTCCACTGCAGTAGTATTCATCTGAGAGGCTTTAAAGACACATGGATATTCAGTAATCTCTGACCAGAGGAGTGAGGGGCTTTGTGGGCTGGTTTAGGGTAAGCATAGTTCTTTGCTTTTGTCTCTCTCTCTCTCTGGAAATGAGGTCCACAGTCACAAAAGCAATGTGTGTGTATATCTAGGGAGAAGGCTCTGTTGGCAGGTCTCAAAGAAGATGGAAAGAGATTGCATGGGGTAGGACAAGAGAAAGGAGGAACATACACATCCTAAAACAGGATGAGTCAAATGTAGAATGGCAAGCCACACCCACCTTTTCCAGGTCAAGATGTATCTAAATTGAGAACAAGAGGTCACATGAAAACACTGGAGTGAAAAACACTTATCCAAATTCCTCCCAGACTGCCAGCACCTTCCCGACAGGTCTCACAGTGTCACGTCTTTCTGCATGAAAACTGGAAGTTAAATCACATTCCTTTTGGAGCAGGATGGCTGAACAGAATGAGAGCTGGCCTTTTCAGAGGAAAAAAAAAATGACATGGAGCCTGTCCACACTGAGTTAAAACTCTTAGGAGCAGAAGCCAGCCTATGGTAGGGCTCTTAGTCATTGCCTTGTTCACCTGTCAAGTCAGGACCAAAGAGATGAGCCACATGAGGATATGTGTATCTTCAACTGTGTGTTCTGTCAGAAGCTGGAAGGGAAATGCCTCCAGTCAAGAACAGAAGGTTTTCCTGTTCTGGTTTTTGTGTCAGACATTTCTGAACTGTTTTCTTGGGCAACAGTTTTCCTACCCCCCCCTTCCCACAAAGAATGAACTGAAGCAAGTTATTTACTCTACAGATTAAAACGTCTCAGTTCTCAGTTCTGGAAAAAATGCACATTTACTGTTTGAATTTTTGAAGAACAAGTTAAAGGAACTCATAGTGACCACAGTATCTCATGTCCCTTAATGGTCATTTGAGCTTAAATTTTAGATCATGTTATTCTGGCTTCATAATCTCTAATTGTGTTTTTTAATCTGAGTTTTTACTCAGTTATAACATTCCATATACAAATTAATAATTATGTGTACTGGCTAATTTTGTGTGAACTTGACACAAGCTAGGGTTATCAGAGAGAAAGGAGTCTCAGTTGAGAAAAATGCCTTCATAAGACTGAGTTGTAGGCAGGCAAGCCTGTACGGCATTTTCTTCATTACTGAATGATGGGGGAGGGTCCAGACCATTTTGGGCACTGCCATCCTGTGGCCTAGAAGAAAGAAGGCTAACCAAGCCATGAGGAGCAAGCCAGTAAGCAACGCCACTCCATGGCCTCTATATAAGCTCCTGCTTCTAGGCTCATGACCTGCTTGAATTCCTGTCTTAAATCCCTTTTAAGATGAACCGTGATGCGAAAGCATAAGCTGAATAAACCCTTTCCTCCGAAGCTGTTTTGGTCTTGGTGTTCCATCACAGAATAGTGACCCTAATGATGATACTATGATTTCCCATCAAATGAAAGAAAGCAATGTCCTTGAAGTCCACAATTATCTTCAGTATATGTTCCTTAAAGCTCAAAGTCTTTGATATATCATATTTCTATCATTTAGAAAAGACTATCACTGAAGGAATAATTAAATTTGAGACTTAGTGATTTTTCAAAATTAATTTTATATCCCAAGTGAAAACTATCCATTCAAGTAGGCAGGAAGAAAGATTAACTTGGGGATCAAAATACTGTGTGTGTGTGTGTGTGTGTGTGTGTGTGTGTGTGTGTGTGTGTGTGTGCATACATATAAGCATTATATATTGTGAGGATTAAGGATTAATTTCAAATGCAGCCTCTTGAAATTATCAATTAAATTTTCCTTTTCATTACATTTTATATTAACCAGATTTTCAAAAGAAAGATTATTTTACACTGCTAATGAATCACAGATTACAGATATTTACTAGCTTATCCATTTGCTAAAGGTGCATGAATTGAAAAATACTAAGAGTATTAATATTTATTCAGTACTGACAAGGTAGTGCACTGAACTTAACACATGATTTGTTAGTAGTGTACAAATATGCCATAAGTATTTTGCTTTGGAGCTCTATTTAATGTAAGATGTAATAGAGATCGAACAAAAGATTATCTGTTAAGTAGCCTAAGATAGATCTCAGAAATCTACGCAGCTGCACATATCTGCAGTTTCAGGGCTGGGAGGCTGAGGGAGGAGTTGCCGTGAGTTTGAAGTCTGCTTGGGCTACATAGTGAGTTCTGAACCTGCCTGGAATACATACAGAGTGATACCCTGTGTTAGTTGCTTTTTTATTGTTGTGATAAAATGCATGACCAGAGCAACTTATAGATGGAAGAGTTTATTTGGGCTTATGGTTCCAGAGCAAATGAGTCCATCACAGGTAGGGGGAGGCATGGCCACAGGCAACAGACATTGAAGCAGGAGCAGGAAGCTGCAAGGTCACACTTTTCACACTTCTTTTTGTTTTCTTTTTAACAGACTTAATTCCCTTTATTTTTCTTGTATAAAAACCCTTATGTAGCTTTTCACACTTCTTTTTGTTTTCTTTTTTAACAGACTTAATTCCCTTTATTTTTCTTGTATAAAAACCCTTATGTGGTGGCCACAGCTGGAGCCTGGGTCCTTTGAACAGAGTCTCTAGTGTGGTTTTTCACAAGATGGTCAGTGAATTCCTGATAAGGAGACTTGGTGAACACAGTCTCTTCCCAGAGGTCGGGGTCAAGTCGTTGCAGATCTTGGAGATGGCATCACAGGTGGCCTTGGCAAAGTTGCCCAGGGTGGCTGTGCAGCCCCTGGCTGATGTGTGGCAGTCATCAATACCGACCATCATCAGTAGCCTCTTGGGCGCAGGAACAGAGACGATGTCAGTGCCTCTGAGGGCAGGGATGAGACGCACCAACACAGAGCCATAGCAGCCTGTCACTTTGCATGGAACAGCGTGGGACTTGCCAATCTTGTTCCCCCACTAGCCTGTCTGCATAGGGACAATGGAAAGCTTGGCGATGATGGTCCCTTGGATGGCAGTGGCTACCTCCTTGGAACACTTAACACCAAGACCAACATGACCGTCGTAGTCCCCAATAGTGACAAAAGCCTTGAACCTGGTCCACTGGCCACCCCGAGTTTGCTTCTGTACTGGCATGATCTTTAGAACCTCATCCTTTAGGGGATGTGCCCAGAAAAAAATCAATAAGCTCAGATTCCTTTTTTTAGGGGGGGGGGTTCAAGACAGGGTTTCTCTGTATTGTTTTGGACTGTCCTGGAACTCACTCTGCAGACCAGGCTGGTCTCAAACTCACAGAGATCTGCCTGCCTCTGCCTCCCGAGTGCTGGGATTAAAGGTGTGTGCCACCAACGCCCGGCCTAATCTCAGATTCCTTAATGGACAGGGAGAAGAGGTGGATCTCCTCCAGGGAGTTGATCTTCATGTCCTTAACCAGGCAGCCCAGCTCGGTGACAGGAATCCACGCCTTGTCTTCAACTTTACCTCCACGAGACCAAGGCCTCAATCACGACCAGAGCCCCTGAGACCACCGCAGCCTCCTAATCCTGGGCCCCCGGGTCCTCGGACCCTCCCGCTGCACCGGCATCATCCACCATTTGGTGTTTTCCCGAAGTACTTTTCACATTTCAACTCATCAGCAAGCAAGAAGCAGTAAAAGCAAAAAGGAAGTAGGAAGAGGCTATGTACTCCCGAAGCCAGTGACACACTTCCTCTAGCAAGGCCACACCCCCTAAACCTCCTTGTAGTTTGCGAAGAATGCCCCCCCATAGGCTTATATATTAGACTGTTTACTCACCAAGTAGTAGTACTATTGAGGATTACAAAGATTGGGAGGTGTGACCTTGTTGGACTCTATCTCTGTGTCTCTCTTCCCCTCTCTGTCTCTGTCTCTCTCTCCTTCCCTTCCTCTACCTCATCCCCTTCTTCTTTGCTTGTATGTCAGGATGGATGTAGCTCTCAGCTATTGTTCCAGTGCCATGTTTGCTGCCATGTTCCCCGCCATGACCATAATGGACCCACCCTCTGAAATTACAAACAAATCTCCAATTAATGCCATATATGCTTCTTTTATAAGAGTTGCTGTGGTCATAGTGTATTTTCATAGTAATAGACCACAGACTAAGACACTCTTAATCGGTACCATCAGCTGAAGACCAATCACTCAAGTGTGTGAGCCTATGGTGGATATATATTGTTCAAACTACTCAAAAAAAGTCGTCCATATGCTGCTGTAAAAATAAATACAACATAATAATATTCACCGTGTGAATATATGGTAACAAAGCAAATATTGCCCATAAAAATTACTCCTGATTTCCTTATTAGCACATGCTTAATTATCATTGAATTATTCCATAAAAGATACAATGGAGAAATAAGTTTAGATTATAAGTAAAGGATGTTAGCATTTCCCCATAAAATCAGTTGAAAATCCAAATCCTTCAAACAAGAAATATAAGAAAAGAAAAAGCAATGAAGAAGTTAAGTGTGTACTGGAAATTATAGTGAACTCTAGTGGGCATTTTGAAAATTAACATTTACACAGTCATTGGAATAAGGAAGTGAAGTATACACAAGAGATAATAAACTCATTACTAAAGAGATAGCACTGACTGAAAATAGAAATGGGATCAAAGGTCTTTGTAGAAAATTCATTTGTGGAAAATTGATATGTAATGTATTACTAAGGGAATAGAATGGATGTTCAAGGTAGATCAATGTCACGTATAGTGCATATCATGCTTTTTCATAAAATACCCTACTCTGTGGACACTTGACTTAATATAACATTTCTTAGATTCCTACCTTTAATTCATGAGCTTAGCAGGTCACCGTGAAATTTTAATTTTATTTATTCAATTTTGGCTGTTTACTCTAGTTAAATTGAGAAGTAAATTGCCATATCAAGACTGGGCTTTATGCTCTGAATGATGCACAAAAACAATTATAAGATAAAACTTCATCCTTCAAAATATAAAATCGTTTCCATAAAATGTGATCGAGAGGCTGAAAAGATGGTCTAGTGGATAAGAACACTTTCAGTTTCTGCATATGACCTGGGTTCAGTTCCCAGCACCACATAGCAGCTCACAAACATTTGTAACTCCAGTTCTAGGTGATCCAATGCCCTCTGTGGCCTCTAAAGACATTCATGCAAGCAAACACTCATGCACAGAAAACAAAAATAAATACTTTGAAAAAAAACTGTGCTTTATTAACAATGCTATATA